CTGGCACTGTCACCCCTGCACAGCCAGAGTCCTGCTGTGAGAGGGCACTGGGGAGCTGGGTGCCATGACTGCCACGGCTCCCATGGCTGCTGCACTTCCACTCACTGTAGTGGTAGGACTCCTCGCAGAGCGGGGCCGAGTACTCAGAGAAGGTGGCGTTCCAGCGCAGTTCCCGTGACTTGGTGTCATACATGGTGATGATGTACTCTGGGGACAGGAGCAGGGCACGAGGTCACCTCCAGCACCCATTCCTGGCACCAGGTGGTTGATGGGGGCATGGCACTGGCTTACGGGTCCGTCCGATGTACAGCAAGGGGCTGGATGGGCACAGACCATCCCAAGCCTCTGTGGAGAGGGTGGTCTGCTTCTCCCCTGACTTGGGGTCCACAACAAACCACGTGTCCTGTTTCTTCCCTAAGAAGGAAAATGCCTTCTTTGTAAGTTCCCGCAGCCCCACCTGTCCCCAGGAGCTCTTCTGAGCTGCCTGTCACCCTCCATGGCCCGCGGGAACCCCGGTCAGCGCGGTCCCCCCAGAGCTCCGTACCGCTGTAGAGCACCCCGTCCGAGCTGCGGCACGGCGACGCCTGCACCAGCTCTGGGATGGTGAACGGCAGCTTCTGCAACACAGGCAGCAGAGCAGGTGCAGGGCCAGAGGTGCGGGGCACCTCTCCCACCCAGGGCACCCCAAGGGGTCACAGGATGCCCACAGCCCCACAGCCCTACTGACCATCAAGCCTTCTTTGTTCTTTCCTCCCAGGATATACAAGCTGCCATCATTGGGGTCTGGAAGGAATGCTGGCCTGGGAAGGAGGAGAGAAGGATAAAATGTGAGCCACCCCCAGCCCTGGGCACCTCCAAGGACACAGAGGCTACACAGCAGAATCCTCTTTAGCAGTTTGCTCCAGGGTGAGTCACTGCAGGACTTGACCTTTCCAGACACCTGCAGCACTGGATTTGGCAGGAGATAATTCCCACTCTGGGCAGTCCTGGCACTCCCCAAGCCACCCAGAGCCAACCCACCAGGCTGGTGGATGGCCTGCCTGTCTCAAGGAGCTCCTGCTGTCCTGCCTGCCCCTGAGCTTTCAGGGGGATTTCCCTCAATTTCTCTCCATGCTGGTGTGTGTGGCCGAGCTGAAAGCGCCTCGGCTCCGCAGCAGGGGCCAGCTCCTCCTCATCACCATGTGCCAAGTGCCAGCACCAAGGTAATGTGATGCCATGGCACGGGCTGGGCATTTCTTTTCTCTGTGGCTCCCCTTTCTTGCTGCTGCTCCATCAGCTATCAGGGAGCCTCCCGCACTGCCCAGCTGCCTGTGGGGATGACACTCACTCTGCCACATACACCGGCACCTGCAGAACGGGATCTGAAACAGAGAGAGAGAGACCACGTCACTCCTGTGAGTGGGACAGCACCACCGTTTACCCAGCGTGGCACTGTCACCCCCCCAGCCATGCAGCCTGTTTGCCTTCCAGAGCCAAAAGAGACACCAATGGCAGATGTTCATCCACGCTCGGCTGTGCCTGGGGCTGGGACAAGGGCTGAGGCTGGGGCTGGCAGCGCACACCAGGGCTGGAGGCAGCCCACAGCCCATCCAGAAAGAGCCAGGCCAGGGGAGCATTCCCAAACCCCAAACATGCTCCAGGAGCCAGGCTGCAAATGCCCTCCAGTCACTACTCACCGTCCTTCAGAGTCCACTTGATCTCCCCTGTGCTCTTGCTGACGGCATGGAGGCTCCCATCCAGTGTGGAGATGAAGAGCAGCGTTTCTGGGACAGTCACGGCACTGCCTTTGAGGCTCTAGGACAGACACACCATCCTCAAGAGCTCAGCCAGACTTGGGAACAACCCCCAGCCAGGTGCTCTGCACAGCTCAGCTCCTGGGGCAGCTGCACCTCAGTGACCTGCATCACCTGCACCTACGGCCCCTGGCTCCACAGCACCGCTCACATCCCACCAGAGCCATCCTGGGGCTGGAGCAGCCTTCCTTCTTCCCCCTCTCCCTGGAAGAAATTTTTCCCCCAGGTGGGATGAACTGCAGTGTGGCTGTTCCCAGTCACAACCCTGGATGCCTTTCTAAAGGTGACAAGAGCAGCCCGACTGTCGGCTCCTTCCAGAAACAAACGAGCCTGGTGACTTTCCATGCCAGAGAAGTGATGATTGCTTGCCTAGGCCTTCAGAGCTGCAGGTTTCGGCTACCTGACATTGAGGAAGTAATTGCAAATTCACCTGGGAGGAGGAGCTGCTACTTCCACGTATGGCATACGCACAGCGAGTGCCAGCTCAGCCGGTGCCACATGTGCCAGCCTCACCCTGTTGGCAAACAGGGATGGGCAAACAGCACGGGACCCACATGGCTCTGGCAGTCCCTGATGCCAGGGATTTGGCAGCAGCTCCTGAGCCACTGGCTGGTCACAGATTAGCATGAGAGGCCCAAGCACACTCCTGCAGCCCAGCCCCTCAGTCCCCTCACTGCTCTGGGAGCCTGGGCTGGCAAAGCCTGTCCCGGGAGCCTGTCCAGGCTCTGGAGCAGGGACCAGCCAGCAGCCTGTGCCCAGCCAGTGCCTACACACGAGTCTGAGACCATTTGCAGAGCAGAACCTGACAGTACAAGACTGGCTGTGGCATGGTGGGGCCGGGAGATTCCTTCAGCTGCAACAAAGCACAGAAGCACACATGCCCTCCCTCACAATGCCCCTCACACCAGCCTGTATACCTCCAGCCCAGCTCTTTTATTTGCACTTCTTTTTTGCTTAATTTTCAGGCGAGGTCAGAGTGAGTTTCCCTGCTCTGGCTTTGCCCAGAGGACATGGTGGGGCAGGCAGGGAAGGGGCTGCTCCCCACCATGGTTCCCCCAGCCCCTAGGGCCATGCAGGTGGGATTGAGCCCGCTTGGGACATGCAGACACTCTTACAGTGTGGCCACCTGCCTGGGGGAAACCGAGACTGCAGAGCCCTCCCAGCTGTCAGGGCTCACCACTTCCCTCCCCAATGCTCTGGGGTTTCCATCCCTTCTGCAACTCTTGATTCCAGGGCACTCGGGCAAAGGCCAGGCTGTCTGGGCTGCTCCTCATAAACCACCATGGGCAGAACTGGGAGCACCGGATGCCTGGGAGCTGCCACCCTCCCCCGGTCCCAGCCACGGCTGCCCCAGCAGTCGTTCGGGCCAGCCTCAGCCCAGCAGCGTGGCTGTCGCCAAGGGCTGTTCCCAGGAGCCGAGCTTTCCCGAGGTTCCCACCACTCTGGACCCTGGCACGCTGCCTACCCACTTGAACCGCCACCAGCTGCAGGAGCTGGATCCGGCTCCGAAGGCACCTCCCTGACAGGCAGCAGCTCCGCGGGCAGGAGCGGGCCGGGGGAACCCAGGGCAGGGGACTCGGCTGCCGGCCACAGGCAGGCTCCGGGTGACGGTGGGGAACAGCCTCCGCTGTGGCTGCCGCAGGGCCCGGGGGACAGCCCGGCTCCATCGCACAGCGGCCAACGCCACCCACCTACGGCCACGGGACCCCCGGCAGCATCCCGGCCCCGCGGGCACCCCCGCACCTGCGCCCCGTACCCCCGGTGGGTGTCCCGTACCCCCGGTGGGTGTCCTGTACCCCCGGTGGGTGTCCCGTACCCCCGGTGGGTGTCCCTGTACCCCCGGTGGGTGTCCCGTACCCCCGGTGGGTGTTCCGTACCCCCGGTGGGTGTCCCTGTACCCCCGGTGGGTGTCCCCGCACTCCCCCGGCCCGAGGGGCGGCTCCAGCCCCGCTCCCCGGTGCCACCCGCGCTGTCACACCCGGGGCACCAGGTGTCGTGTGCCGGAGCTCTCCCGCAGGACACGCGGGGCACGGCGAGCACAGGTTCACACCGGGAACCACGCGGGAACCACGAACTGTTCCCCGACCTTTCCCCGGCGCTGTCCCCTCCCGGTTCCGCCCTCGCACCCCCGCTCCCGGCGCGGCCGTACCTGTGCCGGGGGCGGCGGGAGCAGCAGCAGGAGCAGCGGCAGGAGCAGCGGCAGCGGCGGCGGCAGGAGCCCCCGGCGAGCCCCGCGGAGCCCCCGAGGGCCGCTCATGTCCCGGCCGGGCCGGGCCGGGCCGCGCGGCCGCCGTGAGTCAGCGGGGCCGGGGCGGGTCCCGGACGCGGCTTCCGCCCCCCCCGCGCTCCGCACCCCGACCCCGCGGGCCCATCGGCCTCCCTGCCCCGGCTCCCCTCCGCTTCCCGATCGCTTGCACCGCAGGAGGAGCCGCCCCTGCACAGCCCCGCACGCCCCGGCCCGGGCACCGAGCCCAGGCACGCTCCGCCGGCCGGGGACCGGGGCCAAGCCCTCCCGGTGGGAGCTCCGGCCAGACTGTCACCGAACTGCTTCCGTGGGGGGACAGCAGGTGTCTAAAGGCGGAGGAGAAGCCGAGCAGCGCCGGTTCAGCACCACAAAGCTGGGGCTGCTCCCGAGCGGGGCTGTGCAATGGGAGTGCGACTGGGACACCGCAGCCACCGCACAGCGCGACCCGGCCAACCCCGCTGTAAAAAGCGGATTAAAGCCCGGTTTTGGGCAGGGAGGAAGAGACCATCCTGTAATTCCCAGCCCGTGTGTGTGCAGTGGCACAGGGCAGCAGAACCCAAATCTCCACTCTGGGAGATGGGCACCCACAGCTTCGACGTGTCACCATGTGTAAGGTCCCTTGAATTTCGGCCTGTGTGCATCTTCCCGCAGAGAAACTCACGACAAACCCTTTTGTCACAGCTGTTCATGCAGGAGGAAGTAGCTCGGTACATACATAATATTGAAACACTCAAACACAGAACTACTTAATTATCAAACTTTAATTCGTAAGACTAATTTTACAGAATAAAACACCAGGATAACCAGTCAAGGTTACACTTAAAAAAATCCAGCAGTGCAAATCTAAGACTAAATATTTGTCATCTCCCTCCCCCCAAAATAGCCAATAGATTATTTAAAAATACCATAATACATGGTACTCACATAATCCATTTAAAATAAATCTGCAGTGGACACAAATATCTAAGGTTTTTTTTTATTTTTAATATAAAACCAAAGAATGAATTGCTTTGAGTATGGATAAGACAGAGTGAACTTCCATGAGCTACCAAAGCGAATCCTTGGCTAGAAGGTAAAATGGCCACGTTTGATACAAGACTTGCTACGGCTCTCCTGGTCCCCCGCTCCCCTCCGGTGACAAGGACATTCACTAACAAAACAAGAGGCTGCTGGACAGAACTGAGGATGAAAACGGTGCCCCTGGAGGAACCAAGTTACAAAGGAAGCGAAGGAAGGGAATTCTGGAAAGAAGGGCTGCAAGGATGGGAGCAGGAGCGCTGTGCCCGGGCCAGCAGCAGCGGTGGGGCAGGACTGTGCTGTGGGGCAGGGGGTGCAGAGCACACCCCACCGTGGCAGCGCAGCAGCACGGAATTGTTTCTCTTTGGCCCTTAGAGCATGGAGCAGTGGGCACCAGCAGTGTGGTGGTGGTGACAGTTTGTGATCCCCTTTGAATCCAGATCACTCTCTTCCATCACTAGAACATCCAGACTGTAGTTACACATTCCTCACCAATGTTATTAATGGAAATTAATAATTTACTTTAAACTTGGTATGAAACCATGTGAGTAACACGAGCTCTTCATGCAAGACAGTCTTTGTTGAAACCCCAACCAGGCTGAGCAACACTTCTGCATTCCCAACAAAGCGGTGATCCTGGGACTGCTTACACAAACAGAGGAAAGAATACTGAACTTGGGACAAGGAGGAGAAACCTGCAGTGCTGGGCACAGAGAGGGGGAAGGGATGGCACACCGCTGAGCTGTGATAGTGTCATGGAACAAGGCAGGGAGCTGGGGATTGACAGGAACAATCCCAAGAGGCAGCAAGGAGGGGACACTGCCTGGGCTCTGGGAGCAGCCAACAGCAAACACCAGCTGTGTCCTGCAAGGACCTGCATTTGTCTCATGAATACTTTAATCTGCAATTAGCAACCCCAGAAAGCACTCAGTGCAGCCTCATGTGGAGCAGCACCCCAGGATGCTCCCAGGGAATCACACCTACACAGCAGGAAGCAGTGGCTACTGAGAGCAGCCTGTTAAACTGTAATTTAACTGAAATTCACATCTGTGCAGCTCTTACTGGTAACCTCTCACAGAATATATGTCAGATCTCAGAATCATCTTTATCACAAGCCCCAAACACCGAGTGTTCTCACACTTCACTCACATATTGTGTCTCACTGAGGACCAAACTCCTCCCTGGGAACACTGGTTATGCTGAGGCTGTCTTGGGGATGGTCACAGTGACCAGAGAACAAAATCCACAGCCAAAAGAGAGGCAGGCAATGGCTGTGACCCAACTGTGGCACTATCCCACTAAAAAGGGAGTGTTTCTTAATGTCAATAGCTGCCTTGGAAAAACTGGTGTATGCCAGAACATTAAAAAAACTCCACATCATTCCCAAAGAGAAAGGATCTTAAAGGCAGTGCTGCTAAATTTCAACTACAATATTAATTTCAAAGAGGTCCCAAGAAGCCTGGGATATTGAGCCAACAAACACCAACTAAAGCATTTATAAGCCACTTTCCTGTATTTTAATTCAAATTTTGCACATAGAACAAAAAAATGAGACAATTTCATTTTTCTAATCAAATCCAACCTGCAAGGAAGGACCTAAACAGGATCACATCTTCTTAGTGTATAGTATTTTCTTCATGTTTAAAATTGCTTTGTATGTAACCAAGGGGTTTGTGCTGAGTCTCTCTGGAGCTGCTGGGCTGTACCAGGCCCAGGAGAGAGCAGCTGTGCCCCTCTGGCACGGAGTGTGACACTGCCCTGTGCCCCAGGGGCCTCAGCAGTGGTCAGTGCCTGTCCCCACTCGCCCCAGAGTTACTCACCCGGTCGCTGCATCCTGCACAGAAGCCACAGGAGGTGGGGAGGAGCTGGAACTCGGGCCCGTGCCCTCCCCAGGAGCAAAGGGGTGAAGGAACAGGAAAGGAAACATGAACAGATGCACAGAGCGGTCTGAGAACGTTGAGGAACAAATGGCAGCTGATCATCACAGAACCAGCAAGGTGGCAAGTGCCAACATGTCCCAGGTGACAGAAAGTGCCAGTGTCACCCCTTTGCTTTATCCTGTAGTGCCCACGCCTTCCACCAGGCAACAAATTAATCTAAGCCTTAACACCAGGACTGACAAGTAGGAAATCACAAGTGTGATGGCTGCATTTCATCCATGACATTGCCACCAGTAAAGTCAGGCCAGCTCCTCTCTGTCCCCACTGCTCCAAGGGACTGCCAAGGGAGCTGCCACGGCTCTTCTGGCCCCAGCCATGCATGTCAGGACACACTGCTGCTGGCTTGCACACAGAAAGGAAATACCTCAAGCTACAAGAGTAACAAGCACATCACTAGTTTTTCTATGTAGGATATGAAACACCTTTAAAACTCATATTGTGTGGCTGTTCTAACAGAAAATAGAAACTGAAACTGTTATCTAGAGGCTACAGGGAAATCTGTGACCTCAACACCTACCAGAAAGCCAATGTGTTTTCCAGTCTCTTAAGTAAAATAAAAATAAAATAAATACTAATTTGGGAATTTGCACCTGCTATGCTTCAACTGGGCTCTTCCCTCAAGGAGAGGGAAGAGTGGACACGGAGCATATTCAGATTAGCTGCTCCTAAAAGGCTGTTCCTGCGTGGGTCTGAGCTACTGGCACAGAGCAGCACGGAGCCCCAGCACTAATGCAGAGCAGGATGTGTGAGCTGCTCCAGTCTGGCTGCACAAAGCTATGGGCTTTGTACCTGTCAGGGCTGAGGGCTCCGTTCAGAGCACCTGAGAGAAATGGCACACGGATGGCTGGGATGACACACAGAGCATCACAGCCCACGGCGCAGCACGTTCCTTCTGACAGAATGAGCTGTGACGGCTTCTTGTGAACTGGAACAGGAGGAAAGCTGGAAGGTGGTTTACATTTCAAAACATCACTTGCTGGATGGTTAATCTAAAGTACGATTCACTGAATTCAAGATCGCTACAAATTTTCAAATCCAGCTCACAGAAGACTGCTATTAAGAATCCAAAGCAGCATCTCAGCTTCTCTTTCCCTTACTGCCCCCACCCCAAACAGGGCAGGAAAGCCTCTGTGGTTTCCCTGCTTTGGGAGGTCTGTGTCACCCCGCTCCCACCAGGCAGCGTGCCGGTGTTCCCATCCATGTCCATGTCACTGTGTCCCCTGCTCACACCAGGCAGCACAGCGGTGTTTCCAGTCCAACAGCTCAGTGTCAGCACAGGGGCTGCAGAATGATCCTGGGCTGCAACATGCACGAGCAAGAAAACGCTCCCCAAATGCAGCAGCCCAGGGCAGGAGGTGAAGCACTGGCCGGGCACGAAGAGGGAGCAGCTGGCAGCACCAGGGCACCTGCCGTGACAAAACACACAGAATTCACCTGCTCCAAACACGCCACACAGACCAACCTGGAGCTGCCAGAGTCGGGAAAGGCCAGGAAAAATCCCAAACAAGCAGGGCATCTTTGGGTTAAAACAAAGAATTAGTTCTGCTACCAAGGAGTGGAAGCTGCCATGAGGGCCAGCAGGATATGGCTTCACCGAACAGCGCCGCTGCTACAGTTTATTCCTAAAAATCTGCTCCTCAAAGTCCCAGTCACAACCAAGTAACTAAACTAAGTCTAATGCTGATTACTGAGAGATTATGAAAATATTCGGTTTTGTTCAAACCATGTAAAAAATTCTCAATAATACATTGTAATATTTTCTTTTGAAAACTAAACTGGAAGATCAACTCTCAGCAGATTTAAGTGTATTACACACAATATTTTGTGAATTAAGGTTTATTGATTTCCATTGTATTTGCTTTAAATATGGTTGAAGCTGACTGCAGAAAAGGGATGGTGAAATCTTTAAGTTAAAAGTAAACTAATGGTGAAAGAACATCACCTCTGGCTTCCATCCATGCCTCGTTTAGCATGTTTTAATAATAAGTTCCAGGACTGTCACATCCAGGGATGTTGGAGGCCTCTCCCAGCAGTGTCCTTAGATTTGTGTCATTTTCCTGTGCCAGAGGTGAGCGTGCTTTCAAAAATACTGCCACTTCCCCAGCACCGTGTCTTTGATTGCATCGACATACTGAGTTGGGACCCAATAGACCCAGTAGTAAGATGCTTCTGTTGGGCCCAGCTGAAATGCCTGCAATTAAAAATGACAACATTTACACTTGGGAACAAAGAGCTGGTCCCAGTGGACAGGCACAGCTCATCCACTGCCAAACCAGACCAGCCTGTCCCACTTGCTGCTCCCTGCAGCATTTGGGGCACACCACACTCTTTGGTGGGCAATTAAAGGAGCACGGCAGAGAACAAGAGCTGCAGAGCACTGACAAAGCCATGAGCTCTTCCCTTTTACAACACCACAGCAAAAACCAAAACTCCTGGCCAGTTTCAAGAACGTGAGGAAATTATTCTGGTAGACAACCTGAAGCATAACTCAGAGTTTCTAAAGAAATGACAGAGCTGAGAAGCCAAACAGGAACTAAACAAGACAATGACCATGCTTTTATAGTCATAGGCTTTTATATTTAGACATAACGTACTATTCTCAACTTCTCTCCTATGCCCAGGAGAGGGGCACCAGGGCCTGCCAGAGCCTCCACCCTTGCTGCAGGGTAAGTTTATTGCAACATGTGCTGAAGAGGACCTCTTCTCACATGGATGATTGAAAATCAAACACTGGGACAGAGACTAGAGCAGCAGCTTCCTGCAGGCCATGACTTTAAGGAAAAACATTTCCCTTTCCTCCCCCTAAAGAAGGAAACAGACTTCTTATAGAAAAGAAACTACTTCAACATCAAAAGTTAGTTACTGTACTTTGAAAAGCAGGATCTTAATAAAAACCCATGGATTAAAATAAACAGCCAAAATTTCAGTACATTAGCACAGTTCTCTTCTGAAATATAACTCTGCTAGATCCCATGTGAGTTGTTCAGAAAATTACAGGTGTGAAAAGATATGACAGCATCAAATTCTTTTTTCCTTAACCTTCACCGAGGCCTGTTGTTCATACAAATACCACAGAATCTAGAAATTAAACCAGACATCAAAAAATACCACTACCATTAAGAAATCATGAGCTATGTTGTGAGTATGTTTACTGCTTCAACACCGTCACAGTCAGAAGATACAAAATAATGCTTAAGCACTTCATGTTTGTGTGAAACCAGTCCGGACTTTCACACAGCTGCAGATATTCAATGTGGACCCAAAATATTGACAGTGTGAGAGGAGCCCATGTCCTCATCTCCACAAGGCTGGAAGCACCTCCAGCCTGCTCTGACCTGCAGCCTCAGTAGTGTGCATGAAGGAATTAGATGAATATGATTAAAGTAGAGCCGTTACTCACCATCATGTGATAATCCTCATGGCCTTCAATAGGTTCACTCACCACATTTTTAATGGACCCCATGGGTAACTTTTCTGTTCTCTCTACATTAAAATTGATCAAAGTATTATTTCTGACATGCGGGGAAGCAGTATTTCATATTCATTTCATACACCACCTCCATTAATGCCAAAATCTCCTCAGGTCAACAGTCTCCCCTCCAGGTGAGTTTTGGATACCTGCTGCCCAGGACATGGTGGCTGCAGCACCACACCCCACACACACCCACAGCTGGCACCTCAGCAGTGAGAAGGAATCCAAAACTGGATCACACAGCTCCCCTGCATCACATGAAGTATTTCTGTGTTCAGTATTTGGGCCTGGACTAAGGGATGGGAAATCCCAGGCTTCACTTCATGTTTTCCCAAAACAAACTCTCCTTGGAGCAGCAGGAATTCTCATCCTATGGAATCTAGTCCAGGTATGAGAATATTCAGGACTGACTACCAAGAATTACACTGAACAGCAAGTCTGAAAGCTGGCAAAGATATGCTGACCTAACTTTGAAAGCTTAGGCCAGGCTTTACCCTGAGGCAGTGTGCAGAGAAGCACAGGGAAGGGAATATGAAAGAGAAAACAGGGAAAGAAACAAATAAGAGAAACTGAAGCCCCCAAAAGACTACAATTCCACGGCAGAGTAACATCAGCCTGCCAGAGGCAATGTCAAGAGTGACAAAGTACATGGTCCAGGGCAGAGTTTTCCTGTCAGCTCTGTCCTCACTCCTTTATGAAGACTTAATTCCAAGGTCCTGCCTTTCAGTTCAAGCATCCAGCATCAGCCAAAAATTACCTTCTTGGATACAAGACAGAGAATACCCAAAACACTGCACAAAGGAGAAACTGAACTCTGAGTTCTTGAGATAGATCTATTTAATTTGTGATCCAAAAATTCTCAAACCTACCTACAGAAAGCACACAGGGAGATGAAATCAGTGACATAAGGAAAGATATTCTCTGCCTCTAACTGAGCTCACTCTGAACTACCTGTTCAGACCTGTGACTTCATTCATGAGGCAAAAGCCCACTTTGCCCTTGTTTAGCATCCCCCAAACCAATTTCTGCTCTGAGCACCCCAGCATCAGACAAATCCCATTATCCATGCCTCTGTGCAACTGAGGAACAGCTGCCTGTACCAAACTTTAGACTTTTTTGTTTGTGCAAACACCTGCAGAAACCCCTGTGAGGCCCAGGGAGGCTGCAGGGCTGGGGGTAAGAACCAGGGCCAGCAAGTGACAAGCTGTGTGAACACCCAGATGTGATTACTCCAGCCCTTCCCTGCTGGCCTCTGTCATGGGCTTTTCAGAGTAGGAAGGAGCTTTTCCCAGTAACAGCCAGTAATTACAACCATGGCCTAGAGGCAGCAAGCTGCTGCTAACTCAGGGAAGTAGGGAAACAGGTTACAGGAAACACATGACTACACGAAGAATCAAATTCACAGCTTAAGCAACGCTATGTAGAACACCTCAGAAACACTGTACTTGAAAACTCACCTGGGGGGTGATGGAAGAGATTAATCACCTAAATACTAAGCATGGATTTAGAACCTGGGTACTGGATCAGTAACAGAAAAATCTGCCTGCCAAACCTAGAGTTCACAACACCCCCCAATGCCTTGCTCCATCACTTCACCCAGGACAGAAATCACTGCAACTGGCACCATTAGAGATTTTAAAGCCAGAAAAAAATCTTCACAGTCAAGCCTGTCCTACAAAGAAAGGATCAAGAACTTTTGAGATTTCTGCTTACTTTGGAACTACTGTAGCAGCTGGAGGCAGTACAACCACCCAGTTAGGCTGCTTTACTGGGACAGTGAGCAAGCACTTTCATCCCTCTTGCTCATCACTGTATCTTGCCCACCCCAGTCAAACTGAAGGAGCACAGCTTCCCTGGCCTGTGGGGGGATCCTGGCGTCCTGTTTAGCTCCAGCCAGAAATTAAGCACCACCATACAGAAATTAAGCACCACTCACTCCCCCTGCCATGCTGGGATGGGGAGGAGAACCAGGGAAAAAAAGTAAAAAACTCATGAGCTAAGAACAGTTTGGTAACTGAAACAAAATAAAATATACTACTACTGCTAATGGTAATAATAGTAGTAAAAAAATAAAAAAAGAAACTCCAGAGAAACCAGTGATGCCCAGTACAGCTGCTCTCCACTGCTGACCAGTGGAGAGCAGCACTAAACCTAACTCAATGTCCAGCCTGTCCCCCCTTTCAGTGACCAGTCCCTCCCAGCCAACTGCCCCCAGTTTACACTGGACATGATGCTTTATGGTGGGAAATATTCCTTTGGCCAGCTCTGGTCAGCTGTCCTGGCTGTCCCTCCCATCTCCTTGCATGCCTCCTCACAGGCAGAGTCTGAGACACCAAACAGTCCTTGACTGAGGGAAGCACTGCGCAGCAACAATCAAAACATCCACAGTTATCAGCATTGCTCCCATCCCAAACCCAAAACAGCTCCTGGGAAGAAAACTAACTCTGTCCCAGCCAAAATCAGGACACAGACATCCTCAGCAAGCCACATTATCCCCATGTCATTCCCAGCTCCTCCTGGCACCACTCACAACTGCAAACCAACCCCTCTGCACAGCACCACAGTTGTGCATTACTGAGACAAGACACCCACAGAATTTCAGCTGGAAAGACAGAGAGTGCCAGAGATGCCAACATTCCCAGTTCCTATCCCAGTTCTGAGTTTTCCTTCCAAGTCCTGGCTAAGCCATTGGGCTCCCGTGTACTGCTGGCATCAAACCCATGCTGCTTATGGAGTACTTTGAGATATGCCAGAAATGCCCAATTCTATAATTCACATTTGGAGCCAGGAACAGCACATTGGACCATTTGTCTGCTGACAGCACTGAACTCCAGTTTTTCAGGAACCCACATGCAGTATCAAGTACTACTCACTGACCTAGGAAAATGGCACATGAGAAAAGGAAACAGTTTTCTGAAGTGCTGCAATACCAGCATCACTCCCTAAACACAATTTAGTCAGAAGAGAAGCTTTTCTAGGTCACACAGAGTTCAGTCACAGCCCAATCAGCAGTTGTTCATCCCTGACATTGAGAGGTGCTCACCTTTTGTACCAATCCACAGCTGGTCTTGCTCGAGTTTGAAGGTCAATCTGACTTTTCCCCCTGACTTGTTGTACATGCCGGACAGTGGCACCGTGGGCAGCCGCTCCTGCAAGGAGACACAGCCAGTCACAGGCAGGGCTGGGGCACAAAAGCTACATGCTCTCGACTTTTTAAGCATAAGGACCATCATTCCTGCCAGCTTTCTGCTAGGACAGCAAAGAATGACTGAACCAGTGGGGAAAGGTCCCAAACCACAGAGAAGTCTCTTCTCTTCTCTGAGTGTCTTGTGACCTTACGCACCTGCACACCTTTGACAGAAGGCATCACGTCGTCAGGTTTTCCTTTATCCAACACTTTTCTGTGTTGCTACAACATAAAAACAGAAATTAAATTCACAGGCACATTTACGAAGCTTTGCTGTGTATGTCCAGCTGCCCCCTGAACACATCCCAATGGCACTGAGACAGCTGAGGGCTGTTCACAGGCACTTCTCACATGGGCATCAGTTACTTTCAAACTTAATTGTGCACTTTCTAAGATCTCTCGAGAAATTATCAAAATGTATGTAACTCCAACATGATGCCAAGGACAACAGCCTTCTCAAATATACACACACATAAATACATAGCTATAAACACCAGTGTTAGATCCAGTGAATGGCAAAAACCCTCTCATCTGGCAGAGCAACCCAGCACCAAACCAGAACAGATCAGAGCACTGCTCATTTCAAACCCACACTCACAGCTTGTACCTGGCTGAGCACTTTAAGAAATGATGGTACCTACCCTGAGTGTGAACCATGATAAATCACAGAAAAACATCAGCATGCTGCATGGAGACACTACTTAATTTTAACCAAATTTATTTTGAGGAGAGTACAGGGCTGGTAATACCTTGAGCTGGCAAGCCCTCATCAGCCCCCCACACTGCAGGACCATCAAGCCAGTCTCACTGCTACAAAAAGTGAGAGGAGAATTCAACACCCACATCCCCGCAGGGCTGGGACAGCTGAGGGAACTGCTCTCTTGGTGTTAGTTTTAAGCAGTTTTTGGAAGTCAAATTCTTTTGTGCCAGTAAAAACGAGTTAGGTTTTAGACAGAGTTAAACTGGGCTGGGTTTGCATTAACATCCATCAAACATTTCCATTTCTAAATCAAAATGCTTTGCTGTGCCTGGCACCACAAGCAGTGTCCCTGCTGGACTAAACTCTGCTACTCCGCTGCCCAGAGTCATTCCAGTGCTGAGCCGTCAGAAATGAACCCCCAATCTGATCTCTGGAGGAACAGGATCCAGAAGTGCCTGCAGGAGAACCATGCAAATCCTACTGCTCCCCCGCACCAGCAATTATTGAGACATTAATTACCTTTTGTCTGCAAAGTGGCTCCTTCTTGTTTTCCTCAGCTTTGACCTCCTGTTGAGCAGCTTCTTTGGGTGTATTTACTGCTAACACATCGTTGATAGTAGAGCCCACAACCATTATCTTCGCTCCATTTGTTACTTTGATTTCTCGCAACGTTTTCTCCTCTGGCAGAAGTCCCTTGAACATAACTTTCTGCATGGCCGGCGGGAGGCCTAGAGACAAGCACAGCGATTAGGAGCCGGCGGCGAGGGAGGCGCGGGGGAGGCGGCGGCGATCCCGACAGACCTGTGAGCGAGTGGATCTTCTGCTTCAGCTCGGCTCCCGTGCTGTCCAGGCAGAACTTCACGTCGTACTTGTTCTTGTTCCAGATCACCTTCAGCTCCACCAGCTCCCTCCCGCTGTCCTCGCCGCCGCCGTTGCTGACAGACGCCTGCGGGGGCTCCGGGCGCTGCTCACCCTCCGGAGACCTCCCCGCCGCCGGTACGCCGGCCCCTCCGCCGCAGCCCAGCGGCAGCTCCTGCGCCTCCGCCTCCATGCCCGGCTCCTCGGCACCTGTGGGGAGCGGACAGGAAGATCCCGGCCCACGGGACGCTGTCCCGGCCCAGCCCCTCTCCAGCCCCGGAGCCCGCCCGCAGCGTGTCCGGGGCCGGCTCCCCACGCTGGTACCTCCCGGACCGCCCCGCCGGCCTCTGCCCCAGCACCGCGGGCTCCCGGCACCGCGGGCTCCCGGCACCGCCGGCTCCCGGCACCGCCGGCTCCGGGCGCCGCGGGCTCCCGGCCGCGCTCGTACCATCAGCGGCGGCGGCGGCGGCAGCCATGATGATTGTGTACAATCCGCCGCGGGGCACGCCGGGAAACGCCGCCGCCGCCACCGCTGGGCCGCGTCGGCTCCCGTAGTCGCCCCCGCCCGCCGCTCAACGTGGGGGATCGCACCCAGATCGCACCCCCGCGGCACCGGCCGCTCCGCGCCGGGAGACGGGAGGGGCGCCGGACCCTCCGCTCAGCGCTCCGGGAACCGGAACTCCCCCGCTATGCCGGGCCCCTGACGGCGGCCGCGGTCCCCTCCCACTACCGGACTAAGCTGGTGGCGGTGCCTTTAAGTGGAGCCCCGCCCCCGGCGGCGGCGCGCGCGGGGATTGGCTGCCGCAGCCGGGCGGAAGCGGCGCTGCGGCCACGCGGGCGCGTGGCGGGATGGCGCGAGCTCTGCGCGTGCTGCGCTGCGCGGCGGGACCGGGACCGGGACCGGGACCGGGACCCCGCCCCGGCCCCGTGCAGGGGCCTCGGGTCCGGTTCGGGCCCAGCCCCACAGGTAAACGACCCCTCGGCAGCCCCGCCCCTGCCACCCCCGGGGCTCCGCTGCGGCAGGGCGGGGCTTTGGGTTCGAAAACATCAATTCGGACTCTGGAGGGACTGCTGGCTTCCCGGGGTGCTCCTGTTGGAGCTGCCGGGCTCCCCCTCCCAGCGTGTCCCCGTGCGTTCCCTGTCTTGCGGGGTCACTGTTGGTGTCCCGTGGCAGTGCTGTTCCTGCCATGTGCTAGCTTATAAGGGATTTCCAGGTCACTTCAGGACCTCTGAAGTGTACTCTGTTCCTGGGGGTAGTCATCCACAAGTATGTTCTTAGCCAGTGCCCCCGGAGCTGTGTTCGTGCGGTGCAGCTCCAGCCTCGGTGGCGCTGCCGTCGCAGGCAGCATCCAGCGCCCTTCCAGCTCATATTTAGAACTCTTTCCTGCGCCTTCTTTGTGACCGTCTCCTCTGATTTCCCCACGATTACAGGTTTTCTTCATTTAGGTGGCCTTAGGACCGCTTTGTACAATTACATCTTTGCCAAAAAACACAAAGGGACGTTTATTTTAAGAGTGGAGGATACAGATCAGAATCGGGTGGTGGCTGGAGCTGCAGAAGGAATAGAAGATATGTTGGACTGGGCAGGTATTCAGAAACGTTTTTCATTTTTCACCTACTTAAACCTTACCTTTCATTCAGAGGCTAACAGTACTCAGCTGGAGGGTGGGTTTGGCTCTGCCTTTGGGTTGTTTTGGCAGCCCAGCCGTTCACCGTGCCGATGTTCCAGGTATTCCCCCGGACGAGAGCCCCGGGCGCGGCGGCCCCGCCGGGCCCTACGTGCAGTCGCTGAGGCTGGAGCTGTACGGCCGGGCTGGTGCAGCGCTGCTGGCCAGCGGGGCTGCCTACCGCTGCTTCTGCAGCCCGCAGCGCCTGGAGCTGCTGCGCAGGGACGCCGTGCGCAGCCAGCAGACCCCGCGGTACGTCCTGTCCTGCTCCCCGTGCGGCCCCGGGGCAGCAGCAGCGCCCTTGTGCCGTGGAGGGGGAACCGTGTCACCCTCTAGACACGAGGTGTTTGACTGGACACGTAGTGGGCAGCTTACAGCTAAAATTCAGGTGTCTGCTCGGAGTTTTGGGAATGGAAAAATGGCTGATGTTGCTGGGCTGTGTTGAGCAGAACCTTCGTTCTCACCTCCCAAAGATACGACAATCGGTGCCGGCACCTGACGCCCACGGAAGTGGCCCAGAAGCTGTCACAGGGCCTTGACTTCGTCATCCGCTTCCGCCTGGAGAAGGGAGTGGAACCCTTCCAGGACCTGGTCTATGGCTGGAGCAAGCACGAGGTGGCAGAGGTGGAAGGTGACCCCGTGATTCTCAAGGGGGACGGCTTCCCCACGTACCACCTGGCAAACGTGGTGGATGACCACTACATGGGCATCACCCACGTCCTGCGCGGCACCGAGTGGCTGGCTTCAACCTCCAAGCACCTGCTGCTCTACAAAGCCTTTGGCTGGGAGCCCCCTCAGTTTGGCCACCTCCCACTGCTGCTGAACAAGGACGGTGGCAAGCTGTCCAAGAGGCAGGGGGACATCTTGCTGGAGCACTTTGCTCGGGATGGCTTCCTGCCAGAGGCACTGCTGGACATTGTCACCAACTGTGGCTCGGGGTTCACAGGTAACACCACGGGCTCCTGCCTGCCAGGTCACTTCGTGCTGACTTTGTGGCATGGGCTGGGTTTATTTTAATAGCTGAGAACTTTGTCGGTGTTTGGAGGGGTCAGGGAACGGGTGTCACCGGTGACAGTGGGTCACTGAGGTGTCACCAGACCTTCTGCAGTGCTCCTGTGGAAGGAGCTGGAATGGTGGAAGTCTTTCTGCTGCTGTGCAGCTGTTAAAATTGAGTCAGGTGCTTAATGGATTCTCCCTTGGGAAAACCTTCACTTCAAGGCTGAGAAACTGTCTGTGAAGTCTTGGGAAAACTTGCATTCTGTGGTTAATAATTAATAATAATGTGGTTATTAAGTGTTGTCTGACACCTTTAACCTGATGGACCACGAGGAGTTGAATCAGTGTCTCCTTCTGTGGTTCTTGCTGTGTGGGGATCACAAATTAGCTTGTGTTCTGGGAACTGTGCTTGGGAATGAAATCTTCCCAGGGCAGTGCAGCCTCCTGGCTGCGTGTGACTTCTCTTTGTCCGATGGAGGGGGAGGTGTTCTGCTGAGGCAGGTGACAGAGCCAGGCAGAGTGTCCCTGTTCCCAGTGCCTCACCAGCACAGCAGGCTCCTGGGGAGAGGGCAGCATCCTGTGTGTGCCTGCTGCCAGTTCCCTCCTGCCTGCTGGGGGACGTCCCTGCCGCTGCTGGCACTGCACAGGTGGCTGTCCTGTGTCACCTTTGTGCAGCGTGCTGCCGGCCCGGCCCCGTGCCCGAGGTGTGAGCAGCACCATCGTTCTGTGCAGGAGCACTGAGCCCTGGGATTCCCTGTGGGTTGTGTTGCAGAGAAGCAGATGGGGAGGACTTTGGAGGAGCTGATCTCCCAATTCGAAGTAGGCAGAATTACAACCCATTCTGCTTTCCTGGACCTTGAAGCGCTCCCAGAATTCAACAGGTAAAAAATTAGTGGTAGCTTTAAAATGTAGTAAGCACCACGTCAGTGAGAATTTGTTTCTAGCACTTGGCTTTGGCTGGAGGTTTTGTTTGTTGGATCAAGCATGGTCCTGGTGCAGCAGCTGTTGGGCTGTGCTAAGAGGAAACAAGTTTCTGCTCACACCGTTCCTGCCTCCTCTCCCATTCTGTGCTTGGACACTGGGCTTGGCTACACTGAACTTCTAGGCAGAGGGTGGGTGTAGCTGGGAGGATCTTAAGTTTATAACCTAAGAAAATAATATCTAAAAAGATTTAGCACTTCCAGAACATTCTTCTGCAACACTTGTGCTGCTAGGACATTGTGCTGCTAAGAGTGGCCTCATCATCAATTCCCTGTGGGGCACCAGAGCTAAATGCTCCTTTGTAGAGTGTCTGACTGTGGTTTAGTGTTGCTTTTCTAACAGTTCCACAGTTTTAACTCAGTGGGTCAGAGCATGGTGCTAAGAATGCCAAAGTCATGGGTTCAGTCCCCAGATGGACTCTTCCCTTAAGAGATGGACTTGATGATCCTTGTGGGTCTCTTCCAAGCCAGAATATTCTGTGATTTCTGTGAAATGTGGTTGGGGTGATTTGATGTAACCCAGAGCAATCCAAAAGCAGGTCTTTTCTCTGTTACAGGGTTCACCTCACCCGTCACATTGAGAACCAAGGGCTGCGCCAGAAGCTCGTTAGGGAGCTGCAGGGGCTGGTGGAGCTCGTCTATGGGGATCAGCAAGTGGATCCAGATGTTCTGGAAAATGAATATGTGGAGCGAGTCCTCCTGCTGAGAAAAGTACGAGTAGTGGCAGAGCACTGTGCCACCATCCTCCAGGCTGAGGCATTGCTTCCTCCACAGCTCAGCCCTCTGCCCTGCCAGCCTTGCTCTCTTTCCCCAGGGTCACATAAGCTTCCTGAAGAATCTGGTGTCGAGTGATTACTCTTACCTGTGGGTCAGGCCCTCAGTGTCCCGGCAGCAGCTACAGACAATTTCTGCGGAAGTAGATGAAATAGGAAAACTAGTCTTAGGGTAAGTGTGCTGCTGTCTGAGCTGAGTATTGGCAGCAACGGCTCCTCATCTCTGAAAATTGAAACAATCAGAATTCCTGCTTTTTCTGTGGCTTTCCACAGATAATGGCATAATTTTGTAGTTTAAACTTGCTCTTTTGAATGAGCTCTGCTTCTGGTGAGCAGAGGGAGTGCCCTGGCACAGGGCAGGGATGAGAGGTAGGAATCCTGTGCTTTTCATGTCCCCAGAGTGTAAGGACACCTTCTTCCCTAAAGGCTCATGACAAGGCAGGCAGCTGCCTTGACTGTGGAGGAGCTGAACAAAGACCTGAGAAGTCTCCAGAAGCAAACCAGAGAGACCAAGTACAGCAGCATGATGCAGCTCCTGCGCCTGGTGCTCAGCGGGCGCCAGGTAAAAAAAACAGTTCTGGGATTATGTGCAATGTGCTTTCACAGAGCTCAAACCCAAGTTTTGCAAAAGTTCTCCAAAGCCTAGTCCTGGCTCAGCTCTGGTGCTAATCCTTCGGGTCCCTCTGACCAAGGCTGGCATTTGCCTTCAGGAAGAGACCCCCCAAGGCTTTGTTTGAGCTCTGTGACTCCCTCTCAGTCTGGCAGCGATGCAGAGCGAGGCGCTCGGTCGCTGCAGTCTCCGTGATGCACAGACACGTGCCGGGGAGTTCCCGTGTGTTCAGTGACTCCCTCTGTTTGCAGCACGGCCCGAGTGTTGCTGAGATGATGGTGACTCTGGGAGCTGAGGAGGTGTGTGGCCGGATACGCAGAGCACTGTCCAGCTGACAGGGACGTCGGTGACGCTGCCAGGCCACGCGCTTGGACGGTGCAGGTGGCACCTGTGTGATCATCTCTGAGCAGCTGGGCTTTAGGCATCTGTGCTGGTCCCACGTCTGTACCAACCTGCACTAAGCACAGGCCACTTCACCTGGGAGAGGAACCAAGTCCAGACTCAACTCTGCCCTGCTGTTGCCTCGTGCAAGGAGCCGGGTTTGCTGGGTGGGAGAAAAAGACGTGTATCAGCACTTCAATTGAGACCATGTGGACAGGAAGCGACTGAACTTCTGATAGCAGCAGATCAGATCCTTTTTGGAGAGGGCCTCACAGTCAGGGTACCTACAGCTGCACAACACAGTTCCCCAATAAATACAGTGGGGGTATTTACAGATATATATGTATATATATAAACAGATATATGCTATAGCTGTTACCCTCTTGGCTGCCGTGGTGTCCTTCCAGGCTGAGTGAGCTGCTCAGAGGGGGTTTCCTCCCTGTGTACTGTGTCACGCACGTGGTTCTGCCAAAAATACCCCTGATCAGGAGATTGGGATGTTTTTTCCTCTTTTGTCTGATGCCCTTTTAATTATTAAATTACTGTGGTGACTTAGACTCTGTTGTCACCAATCCTCTGCGTGCCGGCGAGGGGAGGAGCTCGGAGGGGTGTTGGTGGGTGTAGTGCTGAGCAGTGAGCACTTCCACAGCAGGAACACTCGGTGGGCTGCCCACGGAGCTGCTTTGTGCCCGGCCGAGGGACAGAGCCCATGGCTGGCCCCGGGCAGCTGCAGCGCTGGCTCAGTGAGTGGGGCTGGGCGGCGGGGCTGGCTTGGCTGCTGCCTCCGCTGCCTCTTCCAAACTGGGTGGGCACTGGAGCAGCTTCTCCTCCGTAGGGAAGGGCTGACTGCCCCCATGGAACCCTTGCAGAGGGATGTGGGTCTCTCTTGCTGTGCCTGTCCTTTTCCCATCTGTCCTGCCCATCCTCGGCCCCCAAAGCTGCCTGAGCTGGCTGAGACTGGGGAGTGGACACAGCCAACAAAGGCTTTTTCCTTAATTTAGCTGTGCAAAAGTGTAAACTGCCTGTGGTCCACCACAAGTTTTGCAGTGGTCCCGGAAGAGCTGCCTGTAAATGGTTTTTAAGTTTCTCCTGCTAAAAGCAACATCTGCTGTTGTTGGGCTGTGCTTGACTTTAAGTGTGTGGTTAGGAATATATTTTTAGGCAATTTTAGTAACAGCTGTTTCCTGCTCGTCCTGGATCTCCCCTTTCTGCTACGAAAAGCTCTGGAGCAGTGGCACCAGCGAGGTCTGAGCTGTTTCCTGCTCTGAGCACTCGCTCACACTGAGCCCGGGCTTTCCTCCTTCCTCTCTTGTTTTTCTCCCTCTGTAAGATGAGGCCACTGACCCGAGTGTCTCCGAGGAAAACTGGGAATGCATCCAGCGGTTCTGCGAGCAGGTGAACGTTGGCACAGAGGGGTAAGGCAGACACACAGCTCTTTGTGTTCACCCAGGCTGTGTGGGAATGGGGCCTGGGGCTGTGGTGAGGGGAGCTGGACAGGGAGCTGAGGGGATTTGCGGGGCTCTGCTGCTCCCGGGAGCAGAAATGAGTTGGAAATATGAGCTGGGAAGAGGTGTATGCCAGTGTGATGGAGGGTGATGTCTGGGAATGGGCTCTGGCATCAATTGCTGGAGCCCACCAGCAGCAGGTCCTGCTGGCCATGCCCTTAGGAGCCTGGCCAAGGATTCCTGCTGTGGGGTTCTGCAGGGAAGCCCCAAGAGAGCTCAGCCTCAGCTTTTCCTTTCAGACAGGTGGAGGATCTCTACTGAGATTTCCTCACCTTCCAGCTGACAGTCTGGGTTCCCTGGGAAGTAGCAGGGACTGATTAATGCAAATGGCCTGTCAAACCTTATTGATCATCTCTGTGTTCAGAGCAGACTGAGTTCAGAGCTCATAGTCTGGCACCCAGCTGGTGCCCAGGAGCTGGCACGGGCTGCCCTGGCTGTCCTGCAAGCTCCTGCAGCTGTAGAGAGCCAGTTCCTGTGGTGTCTGCTCAGGGACATCCCCCAGCCTGTCCCTGCTGCTGTCTCCCCCAGGACAGCCCCTGGGCACGGCTGGAGGGCAGCTCTGGGGTCACCAGTTCACCCCCTGAGTGTGCATGGCCAGCACCGTGCCCCAGGAAGGGGGTCTGTCCCGTTGGGAATCCAGCAGCTGCTCTTCTGTGCACACCAAAGCCAGCAGCATTTGTTTTTCCTGGGAATTTGTGCGTGGTGTGACTTGCTTTGCTCTTCCCCAGCCCGTTGTTTGCGCTGAGGCTGCTGGCACACAAAATCCAGTCCCCTCAGGAGCGGGAAGCTCTCCACGCTCTCACAGTGAGTACTTCCACCCACACACAAAGCACTCACTTGGAAACAGTTTGGCAGGTACAACAGCAGAGCAGACAGGATAGGTCTCTCTTCCTTTTCTCTTAGATGTCAATGTCTTTCTCTCGGACTCCTCTCCCTTTTAACTTCCCCTTGCACGAGGAATACAGGAACCAGGGCACAGTGCAGGCAGTAATTGCTGCTGTTCCTCCCCACGTTGCTCTGCTGAGGTGTTTCACTGCTCTGCAGCTCTGGCTGCGTGAGCTGTGTCTCACCACACTGGCAACAGCTCAAAGGTTGTTCCTGATGGGTAGAACAGAGCAGGTGGTCTTAATGTGCTGCTTAGGAAGGCTGGATGAAGGAATAAAACATGTTCTTGCTGCATGACTTTCTCTTGTGTTGGTGAATGCCCTGTCAGAAAGCTCTTAGATTTAGTAATATAATGATGAAGTTTCTGAAAGCTCCCCAAGCCTTGTGTGTCCAGTTCCTGTTGGGAACGTTTTGTTTTCTGCAGGTGCTGGAGACCTGTGTGAACAACTGTGGTGACAGATTTCACAGTGAAATGGCAAAATTCAGGTTTCTGAATGAGCTGATTAAAGTGCTCTCCCCAAAGGTAGGTGATGTAGTTAGATAAGAATAAAATAGGGATAAGAAATGCAGCTCTGCTTTATCAGAGGCAGTGGGATCTTCTGGCTGTGCTCCTCTTCGTTGGGGTGGGCCTGGGCCTGCCTGGAACACCCTCTCAGCACCACACCCATGGATTTCCCTTTCTGCTGGATCCTGCACACATTTACCGCTGGTGCACGTTTCATTTTCCATTGCATCAGCCCAGGGGCAGAGCTGCAAAAAGCTGATTTCAAAGAAATGCTCAACTGAAGAACGAAACTCCTTGTCTCAGTCTCAGGCTTGGTAACAGGATTTCAGTGAAACCATAGACTTTAAAGCATATATCACTGAGGACAATTCTGCTTACTGCTCTGAGAGGACAGGTATCGTTTAATGAGTTTGAAATGCCTGGTCTTGGGGAGCTTTGTGTTTTTATAACGAAAGGAGTGCTCATAGGAGATAAAGAGAAATTGGAGAAAACACCCAGATGCCGATAAAAGACAGTAACTGTTGTTTCTGGTTTTGTTCAGTTTTCCTGTGTCTGGGGCTGGCTGAGGCCAGTGGTGTGAGTGCATTACAGCCGTTAAGGGGAGTGTTTAAAGTCAAGCACAAAACTGTTTTCACTAAAATAATCCACTCTGGGTTTTGGATTCAGTAATTGACCAGAGAAGTTTGAAGTGGTTTAATTTTGATTGTTACAAACATGTGTGTGATTCTCACACACTCTATAGCATTTCTTGTGTTTCCTAACCCAAAGACACACAGCTGACAGCACTGTGAATAAACTCACAGGAATCCATTTTATCTTTGGTGTCTGCACATGAACTCCTTGGGGCTGGATCCCTGTGCCGGGTCTGGCACCAATTCTGTGGATTTGAGCTTTTTTTGTCTTTCTTTACTGTCTTGTTTTCAGTACTATGGAATCTGGTCTTCAGAAAAAGTCAAGTCGAGGGTCACAGAAGTGATATTCAGTTGGACAGTTTGGTTTCCTCAGGAAGTCAAAATCCAGGATGCTTATCAGATGCTGAAGAAACAAGGTTCAGTTCTGTTATTTCAGTTTCCTTTTTAGCCTCCCGAGCCCATGGTTTCCCCCCACAGATATCTGTCCCCCTCAGCTTGTGACTCAGCTTTTTCATAACATGTTGTGTGTAAGGAAAAGGGACAAAGGTCCCAGGCTGGCTGAGTTCTGAAGGATGCATGGAACTGTTTCAAGGGATTTTCCAAAGAGCAGCCTTCCTGAGCCACAGCTCAGACCACTCTGGAGGCCTCTGTTCACACTGTGTGCAGGGAAAAAGTACAGGACAGGCTCAGAAAGTGATCTTTGCCCTGGAATACTCTCCCAGGGTTATGAGAGATGAGGTCAGAGGGATCCTGGATGGATTTTTCATCCAATACATTATATTTAGTAGTCCTCAGTGATATTTTAATGTGGAAATCGTGCAAAACCTCATGCACTGTTGAGCATTGAGGTTTCAGCAGCTTGAACAACTGCTGTTACCTGTTCCAGGGATTGTAAAAGAAGATCCCAAACTGCCAGAAGACAAAATTTTACCTCCCCCTTCTCCAAGACCTCAGAATTCTATTTTTGACACAGATGAAGAGAAGTCCAAGGTAAACCTTAGAGTCTTCATGCCCCACCCTCTGTTTCGTAGTGATGATAAAAGAGATTCAGTAATATTTTGTGACTTCTGCTGTTTCAGACAGACTGTCTCAGAATAATGCTGATCCTTCCTGCAGTGCAACAACTGGAGAACTCTCTTGAGTTCTCTACTGAGAGAAACTGAGGCTTTGTCAGAAATATTTCCTTAGTAAAAAGTGAAACTTTTTAACAGAAAAACATCAGTTTCTGTGACACTTCCCCAAGGGAGGGTTCTCCAGGTCTTACAGAAGTCCTGCAGAGCCCGAGTTCTTAATCCTGAACAGCCAGTGCATGCAGGCAGCAATGTAACCTGGATTAGATTATGGGACAGGAGCTGAAGCATTTCCAGCATTATGGGACGGTTCTGCAGGAGGTGTCTGTGGTGTGGGAGGTGTGCACAGGGCCCAGGGGCTGCTGCTCACTGCTGTCCCATCTCTGCCCTGACAGCTCCTGGCCAGGCTCCTGAAGAGCAGCCACCCCAAGGACCTGCAGGCAGCCAACCACCTGATCCAGAGCGTGGTTAAAGAGGTGGGAACTGCCAGGAGAAGCCTTTGTGCAGCCAGGGAGGGCACTTGGCCACTCAGTTTTTGTCAGGAGACCCTCTGTACGGCAGCCCCAGTGACGGGGCCATGTTCAGTCTTTCCAAGTTATTCTGAGATTACAGCATGGGATCATTTTGTTTTGTTTCCCTAAAATATGCCGTTACCAGGAAGAGGGAATATGTGAATGTGCATACAGCAGGACTCTTCCATGTCAGTGGGACCTTGGCAGTAGTGCTGCAGTAGTGGTCAGAAATTTCCAAAAATAAACTCAGTTCCCAGGTGGAAAAAAGTCACTTCTGTACAAAACTGCCTCTTTCCTGCAAGCAATGTGCGTGCACATCTGGCCTGTGTGTTTGCATGTTCCACCTGCAGGACCATCCCACTTCTCTGCTTACAGAGGAGATTTGGTTTAACAAAGCCCTGTGGTCATTTTGAGTGTGTTGTTCTGTGGCAGAAGCCACCAACTCCCAGCTCAGATTTTGAAGTCGTGCTCGTGCCTGTGGTGAGCTGTATTCCATATCCCACAGCTCACGGCCAGGGTGCCCTGCTGGGGCAGCTGGGGGCACGTTCCCACCTGTGCTGCTTTGTGCCTGCTAACAGCTGTGAGCCAGAGTGCTCCAGCCAGGTCACCATCTACCTTTCTTTCATTTTTCATCACAGGAACAAGAAAAGTCAGCTCAGGTGTCCCGGAGAGTGAACACCATCAGTGAGGTTTCTGAGACTGTCCGACGTGTGGAGGAGTTACTGGAGAACTACAGGAGACATGAATTATCCCCAGCTGACCAGGAGACCCTACAGGTAGATGTTCTTTTTCCTGCATAAATGCTCTTTTTCCTCCCTCTTCTAGAGGGGGCATCACTGGCAGGTGACTGCAGAGGCCGAAGTGTGAGTGTGCCTGGTCCTGAGCAGTGGAATGTCTCCTCCCCAGGCTCTGCTCCAGCACTGTGAGAAGCTCAGGGCGCTGCTCTTCCGCCTGGCCAGCGAGGCACTGCCTGACGAGGAGGCTCTAGGTAAGAGCCAGCCCTGTGCTCGTGCTGCTTGGCAGCTGGGACAGGCTGGGAGTGGAGTGCTCGGGTACTTGGCACCCTGTGGGCAAAGCTCTCCACTCTCACCGTGAAACCATGCCCAGGGACCTGGCATTCGGCCTCCTCCTGCTCAACTCTGAGGAAGCTGTTAATTTTCACTTGGAGCCCAAAGTTAAATGGTGAATCTGCTTCTTCAGCTGAGGTGGTTTTCTGAGTTTCTTTGAGTTCTGATGTTCTCTGAAGGCTTTTGAGGCCTTTTCTCTCCAGAGACTGAAGTTTTCCTTGTGTATAAACACAGAAAGAGGAATATATTTTGAATTCCTTGTAATACCAAGGGAAGTGTCCTGGTTTCAGCTAGAGTAGTGTTAATTTGATAAGAGCAGAACCTTTGAATTCCACAATTGTCACTTCATTCCTGAACATGTGCCTTGGAAATCCATCTGAAGCAATGGCTGCTGAACAGACATCCTGAACAGCAACCCTGAGAGCTCAGCTGCACCTCACACCTTCCTTTTGTACCCACGGGTGCCACGGCTCTGAGTGCTGGATTACAAACTGGAGTGCACAAGAAAGACTTGTGGAGAAAAAGAAAGTGCACAAGAGATGTCAGGAATTAGGAATACTTTAGAGATGGGATAAGATTTCAAAGTGATCTTGGTAAATGAGAGAGAGGCCTGGAATCAGCAGCTGTGAGTACAAAATGGAATGAAAGGCGAGTGGGGAGCTGAGGGCAGCCTGCTTCGCTGGCCTTTGCTCCCGAGCTGCACTGGCCCTTCCTCACGAGCATTTTGGGGAGTGCTGTGGCGCTGGCCTGGCCTTCCCGTCGGAACGTGAGCGTTTTGTGTCTGCTCTGGTTTCCCAGCCGAGGTCCTGCAGGCCAGTGACAAGCTCTCAGGGGTGCTGGGGCAGTACAGGCAGGCTGTGGCCAGCCAGGAGAACGGCGATGGAGCAGCTCCAGCTGCCAGCTCTGCCCGTGCACCAGGTGAGAAGCACCCACAGTTCCCTCAGCAGCTGCGGGGAGCGGGGCTTGGGAGGGAAGTGCTCCTCAGGAAACAACCCTGGAGAAAGTGCTGTAACACGGGAAAAAATATTATGTAAACATCGTTTTCTCTTGCATGTAGTTGATAGAAAATGTTCCCAAAGTTTTCCACCTTTCAGGCACAGCTGTAGCCAAGGATGTGCCGTTCCTTTCCGGAGGTTCCTGGCTGACTCTGTCTCTGTTCCCCAGCAGCCCCACGGCGCATGAAGAGCTACACGCTGATCGACTTCTCCGAGCTGGAGCCCGTGGCCCAGACCCCCCCAGAGCCCTGTGCAGACACAGCCTCAGCCTCCCAGCACGGCAGCACAGCCTCCAGCTGCCTGCTCCAGGACGAGTTCCAGTCCCTAGGTCTGTAGCTGCAGCTCAGTCTCACCCTTCTTCCTGGGGTTCGTGGTGTTTAATACGAGAGCTTTGACTTCAGTGTCAGTCCCAAGAGAAAGTAGAGCCTTCCAGATCAAAGTTTTCAGGCATGCAGTGTCTTTAGTGGTGTTAGACAGCAAAGGAAGAACTTGTGGAAACCCTTTTCTGTAAATTATCTGTGACATTTTGGTATCTTTCCTAGGTCTCAGCAACTCCCCTGCCATACAGAAACCACCACCCAATTTTGGCCTAGCAGAGGTGAGTGAGGCTCAGATACTTTGCAGTCCATAAGGTATAAAGGACAAAAATCAGAGATGATTCCTGGTCTGCCTTTCCCTGGCAGCCTTTTTGGTGTACCACTTGGTTCTGAAGGGAAACTGGAATCCTTGTGCTCTCAGTTAATCTCTCAGGTGCAGATTGCAACCAAATCTACAAAGTATTTCTACTTTAGTTAGAGGAATTTGATGAACAGAGCTCTTTGCAGGTTTATTTTTGCTGATATGTAGCATGAACCTGAAGGGCCATATTTTCCAGCCTGCTGTACACAATGGATTTAGGGAAGGTGTAAGTGCTGTACAAACCCTGGGACCACAGGAGAGTTGGGAAGATGGCTGTGCAGGGAAGAGTGAATTCCAGAGCCCGGATCAACAGCTCTCTCCACTGTCCAGGACCAAAACATTCTCTTTGTAAGTAAACTCTTCGTAATAGAGTCAGATTTGGGGGCTGAGGAATTCTTTTACAGCAGGGAGGTTTAGGAAAACCTTTCAGCTGCCCCTGGTTAGTGATGGCAAGTGATCCATGCCCATGTTGGCTCTTTCCTGCAGCTGTGCACCTGTTAATTGCAGTTTGTGTAATTACACATTGGATCTTCCAAGGGTCAGAAATTTGGGGAGACATCCCATTGGTTGATAACAAGGTGATGGTGAGCTAAAAGAAAAAAAACCTTAGTCAGGCCTGTTTATAATAACCTGTCACTCAAAAAGTACTTTCCTCAGCTTTCTCCAGACTGTGACAAGGTAGTTCCCAGACATTTGGTGGAAGCTTGGAATAGTTCACAAATCAAATTAATCTCCACAGATCTTCAGAGCAGGAGACTATTACAGTGCACTTATACAGTCTGCCATAATACAAGAAATTTTACTGAAGATTTCCAACCTCCTGTGATGTCTTTGAGCTGGAATTTACTTTAATCTGCCTGACTAGGCCTCCAGAGAAGCTGTGCACAGGAACGGCAGACTTCCAAAGCCTTAAATCTAAGTTTTACCATAGTAACAGAACCAAAATCTGCCTTAATGAATTTTGAAACAGAAAGGTCTTCCACAGATGAGAGAGTTCTTTAATTCCTCAAGGGCTCAGAGCGTAAGTCTGTAGTTTCTTTATACCTAAAGGAGATGAGAAATTTGGAATACAGACAGACCCAGCAGTACAGCAGAAGACAGTATATTCCCTGTAGTATCCCCAATTAATACAAGCTTTCTGCATGCTTTTCTTTCCAGGGATTTATCACCAATGAAATTGCCCTTTCCAGATCTTCCACATAAGTCAGTGGCAGATCCTCCACTCCTCAGTCCAGGCTACGAGCTGAAGCCTGTTGCCTCTTTGCATCCAGCTTCCTATGATGCTTCTCTAGAAAACCTGTTTGTGCCTTTAATTTCAGTTACACCAAGTAAGTGCAATTCTGTGCCCCAGCTCTGCTTACTGGAGGCTTACTAGAGCTCTTCCATGAGTTCTTCAGGATAGGAAACCAAAGTAGCTTCATGCTGTGTGGGTGGGCTGGACACAAGCAATGACTGTTCTGTGATGTGCTTAATGTACCTGAGAATTTGAGTAGGTGCCAGGGATCACAGCATGACAATGTCCTTGTCCTCCCTATGCTGGAGTTTCCTGCCCTGGCTGATCTTTGTAATGTGCTTCTAAACTCTGTCCTTTGCACCTTCAGTCAATCTTTGGACAGTTGTTCTACTAAAAGTCCTCAAAGACACTTTTGAGTGGGAGTTGCCCCACTTCCTAAAGCAGAGCTCTTCATTTCACCTCTGCTTTTCGGTTTCTCACTGTGTGGCCCAGCCCTGCAGCTCGGCCCCAGAGCATTTCCTGGGTTTCACCCTGGGGTCTCAGCCCGGGGCCACAGAGCCTTGGTTCTCACTGCTGCTGGAAGAGGACAGCTGCACAGAAATCCTGATCTGCCTTCAGTCTCAAGTGAAGGTCCTAGCAGATTTTGGAAGGGCTGGATAGTGATAGGTCTGAATTTGCCAGGCGTGGATGGTAAGGAGCCAAATCTTGTGTGCACTAAGAAAGGCACTTTGCTTTTCCCACCATATCTCTGTTGGATCCACACCTGACTTCTTTCAAGGACTGGTGAAACCTGAGCTGCTAAATCCCAAATGCAGACATTCAGATTCCTGTCTCTGTCTTGAAGGCACATGTAAATCAGGGGCTGTGTGCCACTTGCTCTGTGAGTTTGCCAAAGGAAGTAAAAGTTTGTCTGTGTTTTCCTTTTTGCTATTCCTTATCCCATCTTTCCTGTTCCCTCTCAGATGGGAGAGGAATCCAGGCTTTGATTCTGAGTCTCAATTTGTCTCTGGCAGGCACTATCTGTCCACTCACTGTGTATGACAGGAATGGTTTCAAGGCCATGCTCCACTTCTCCAGAGACCCGGCTCCCGGCCGCCCAGACGTGCTGGTGATGGTTCTGTCCATGCTGAGCACCTCAGCACACCCCATTAGGGACATAGTGTTCCAGGCTGCAGTCCCAAAGGTGAGAACCCTGTGACAGAGCAGCAGAGATGCTCAGAAATGTCCTGAGGAGAAGGTTCACCATTTCTTACTGAGTGTTTGCCTTGCTCACGGGGAAACTGTGGCTCCCTGTCTCTGGACAGAAAACCTGTTGTGCAGTGGTGCCTGTGGCATCAGTGCCTGTTTCACAGTGTGTATCCATGGCCTTGCTATGGCCAGAGAGGGCTCCAGAGCTGCTGCTTCAGCCTCCTGGGTAGGGCTCTTGCTCCCCATGCATGTGAAGCATAGAACTGGCTGTTTAGGAATATCTGCCTTTAGTTGTAGGCTGTGCTTTTCACTGAATGACAGCAACTCTTGTTAATCAGCTCCATTGCTCACAGCCCTTTCCCACCATAGACTAAAAAGTGTTTCTTTTGTCTTCTCTTTCAGACCATGCAAATAAAGTTACAACCAGCCTCTGGTTCTGAGCTGCCAGCCTTCAACCCTCTCCTCCCACCTGCAGTGGTGTCACAAGTGCTGCTGCTCGCCAACCCACACAAGGTGCTGCTGGTGGGCACTGGGATCCCACTGGCTGTTTGTGTGAAAGATGGGGAGAGTCTTAATAATGGGGAGATGCAGTGGAGAGACAGGGCAGCCTGGGCTGTGCTGGGAAGATGTTTTTTCTGCTCAAAGAGCTTTCCAGAGCTGCTCTGAAGGACTGTGTGGGCAGTTGCTGCAGGGGCCTGCACAGTTCTGGACTATGTGCACACACAGACAGCTCCAGGCACTCACCGTGCAGGTGTTGGCAGCTGATGGAACACAAGGGCACCCAAGGCACAAGTGATGGGTGGCGGATCTGTTGCATTATGAGACCCAAAACTGGTGTAAGGATCTCTCTGTCTGAGTAGGCTGGCCAGGCCTGGATTGCCAACATGCCCACAGGTGCCATGCACAGGTCTTCCAGTTGCTCTTGTCCATCTTAGGAAGATGCAGGGTTTCCTTCTGTGCAGATCTTCTGGAAGGCTGGTGTTTCCCCTTTCAGAGGTGACTCACTGCAGCAAGGCCGTGAGTGGTGAAGGAGTCCAGGACTTTATAACCATGCTGTGCCCCTCTCTCTCTCTCTCCCAGGACCCCATCCGCCTGAGGTACAGACTGATGTTCACGCAGGGCGTGCAGCCCTTCAGTGAGGAGGGAGAGGTGACTGGCTTTCCAGAAGCACAGCTCTGGGCCAGGAGCTGAAGTGCAGCTGGCTCGGACACTGCCGCAGCTGGGGAAGGGCTGGGGACCAGCAGTGCTGGCCAGCACTCCGTGAGGGCAGCTTTTCTGGGGATCTGCCGCCTCCTTCCTCCTGTGTGTGCCCGACGGGAGGAGCTGGAACTGGCTGCTTGTGCCACAGCCCGTCCGTGTAGCCGAGCGTGCTTTCCAGGAGCCTGCGGTCCCGGAGCAGGCTCCGTGCTCCTGCCCCGCACGCCCTTCCTGATGCTGCCTGGGCCATTTCCCCTCTACTTCTTGAATTAAAAAACAAAATCTACACCAGCATTCAGCTCCCGTGCCAGCCTGTTCCAGGGACACAGGGACACCCCCGTTTTCCCGGAGTCTGGGCCAGGTGCAGCGGCAGCCGAGGCCGCCGGTACCGGGAGCGGAGCCAGGCCCGGGCCGGGCTGCCACAGGCCCGGGGGCCGCGGGCAGCGACCGGGCTGGGCACGGACACCAGGGGCTCGGCTGTCGGCCGGGCACCGCTCCGGG